CTTACAGTATCACCATAGAAGAGCAGGAAGCATGTTAGTGGGTGCAAGATAGCCCAAATGTAACTCCAAGGTTTTTCAACACCCTCTAAAAAATTTTCTTGACCCTCAAAACTGTGGTGCCTGTGACTGTTGCAAGGCCTAGCAGACTGACTGACCCAGCCATCAGTTAGGTTTGTTGCCTCTGAATCTGTGTGAAGTAAATATTCAGAAACATAATATATCTCAACTTGTAATTGTCTGAATTCTTATCCAAAGAGTAAAATGTACTTTCAGGATTAAACAGAATTGGAAGAATCTTGTTGATATTACCATTCACACATCTGGTCACTTGTTAATGTCTACACATTTTATCTACATAGTCATTTATTCTGGGAGATGTTAAGAATAGTGTGAATATTTCAGTGACACAGTATTACATTTAATTTCCTCCCTCATTGTTGTTCTTTTGGGAGAGTCTGAAGAGAAGGTGCAAAGGTTGGTGGAGGAATTTGGGTGGGTATATAAAAGAAGTGGAAAAGAATTCTTCCTCTGTAAGCCATGAGTGTCGTACAAGGCAGCTAAAATGCCTGGAGCAAGGGCCTACTTACCCCTTCTGTATATATTAATAAATTTAAAAAGAAAAACTTTTATTTTTATTTTTTGGTGGGAGATGGCCAGTTCATTCAAAAAGAAAAGTTAAAGAAGGAAATTAAAAGTGAACACAGGAAATAGCAAAATGATAGGAACAAAATGAAAGCTTTGATGTCAGTACAGTGGACCCCTGCATAACGATATTAATCCGTTCCCGAGAGCTCATTGCTATGCGAAATTATCGTTATGCGAATGAATTTTCCCCATAAGAAATAATGGAAATCAAATTAATCCGTGTAAGACACCCCAAAGTATGAAAAAAAAAATTTTACCACATGAAATATTAATTTTAATACACACAAACTGAAAAAGACATGCACAGTTACATGACACTTACCTTTATTGAAGATCTGGTGATGATTGATGGGATGGGAGGAGGAGAGAGTCTTAGTGTTTAGAAGGGGAATCCCCTTCCATTAAGACTTGAGGTGTCAAGTCCTTTTCCGGGGTTACTTCCCTTCTTCTTTTAATGCCACTAGGACCAGCTTCAGATTCACTGGACTTCTGTCGCACAACATATCTGTCCATAGAGGCCTGTACCTCCCGTTCCTTTATGACTTTCCTAAAGTGGTTCACAACATTGTCAGTGTAATAGTCACCAGCACGGCTTGCAATAGCTGTTAGAGTGATTGTCATCAAAAAAGGTTTGCACTTTAAGCCACATTCTACACATTTCCTTAATCTTTGAAGTAGGCAACTTCTTCAATTTCTCTCTCCACTCCTCCGAAGCAGTTTCCTCAGGTCTGGCCTCTTGCTGTTGAAGTTGATCTAGCAGCTCATCAGTGGTTAGTTCTTCATTGTCCTCCTCCACCAACTCTTCCACATCATCCCCACTAACCTCCAACCCCAAGGACTTTCCCAATGCCACAATGGATTCCTCAACTGGCATAGGATTCCCAAGGTTAGCCTCAAACCCTTCAAAATCCCTTTGGTCTACACATTCTGGCCACAGTTTCTTCCAAGCAGAGTTCAAGGTCCTCTTAGTCACTCCCTCCCAAGCCTTACCTATAAGGTTTACACAATTGAGGATATTAAAGTGCTCTCTCCAAAACTCTCTTAGAGTCAATTGAGTTTCTGAGGTCACTACAAAGCACCTTTCAAACAGAGCTTTTGTGTACAGTTTTTTGAAGTTTGCAATAACCTGCTGGTCCATGGGCTGCAGGAGAGGAGTGGTATTAGGAAGCAAAAACTTCACCTTAATGAACCCTCATGTCCCCATAAAGTCGCTCTGCCACGTCTGTAGGATGACCAGGGGCATTGTCTAACACCAGGAGGCACTTAAGGTCTAATTTCTTTTCAGTTAGGTAATCTTTCACATTGGGGGCAAATGCTTGGTGTAACCAGTCATAGAAAAAGTCCCTAGTGACCCATGCCTTACTGTTTGCCCTCCACAGCACACACAAATTAGCCTTGAGGATATTCTTTTGCCTGAACGCTCTGGGAGTTTCTGAGTGATACACTAATAAAGGCTTCACTTTGCAATCACCACTAGCATTGGAACACATCAACAGAGTAAGCCTGTCTTTCATAGGCTTATGTCCTGGGAGTGCCTTTTCCTCCTGAGTAATGTAGGTCCTGCTTGGCATTTTCTTCCAAAACAGGCCTGTTTCATCACAATTAAACACTTGTTCAGGTTTCAGTCCTTCACTGTCTATGTACTCCTTGAATTCCTGCACATATTTTTCAGCTGCTTTGTGGTCTGAACTGGCAGCCTCACCATGCCTTATCACACTATGTATGCCACTACGCTTCTTAAATCTCTCAAACCAACCTTTGCTGGCCTTAAATTCACTCACATCATCACTAGTTGCAGGCATTTTTTTAATTAAATCCTCATGCAACTTCCTAGCCTTTTCACTTATGATCACTTGAGAGATGCTATCTCCTGCTATCTGTTTTTCATTTATCCACACCAATAAGAGTCTCTCAACATCTTCCATCACTTGCGATCTCTGTTTTGAAAACACAGTTGAACCTTTGGCAAGAACAGCTTCCTTGATTGCCGTTTTGTTGGACACAATAGTAGCGATGGTTGATTGGGGTTTACTATACAACCTGGCCAGCTCAGAGACACGCACTCCACTTTCATACTTAGCAATGATCTCTTTCTTCATCTCTATAGTAATTCTCATCCTTATTCCTGTAGGGTTGGCACTAGAAGCTTTCTTGGGGCCCATGGTCACTTATTTTGCAGATAAAATCACCAAAAACACTGTAATAATACGAAATGTTCCGATTGTATGCTTGGATGTTACCGCGGAGGCTGGCTGGTAAACAATGCCACCAGCGGAACATGTGAGGCTGGCTCAGGCCGCACATTAGACGTGTCTCTGACGAATAGCGTTGAGCGGGTTTTTTAGTGGTATGCGAGGCAAAATCTTAGCGATAAAATGTATCGGTATGTGGATTTAACGTTATGTGATGCCAATGGTATGCGGGGGTCCACTGTATTACATTTAATTTCCTCCCTCATTGTTCTTTTGGGAGAGTCTGAAGAGAAGGTGCAAAGGTTGGTGGAGGAATTTGGGTGGGTATATAAAAGAAGTGGAAAAGAATTCTTCCTCTGTAAGCCATGAGTGTCGTACAAGGCAGCTAAAATGCCTGGAGCAAGGGCCTACTTACTCCTGTATAAATTAATAAATTTAAAAAGAAAAACTTTTATTTTTATTTTTTGGTGGGAGATAGCCAGTTCATTCAAAAAAAAAAAAAAAAGTTAAAGAAGGAAATTAAAAGTGAACACATTAAATAGCAAAATGATAGGAACAAAATGAAAGCTTGGATGTCAGATTGGAATGTGGGAGTATGGAGAAAGTGAATGTGAATACATTCACTTTGGGAGTGCACATATTTACAGATGAGTGTATGAAAGATGAGGCGAACCATAGAATAAATGAGCAGGGAAAAAATAGGTGGTGTGTTGAGACATCTGTGGAAGGAAAAAGGTTTATCTATGGAGGCAAAATTGGAAACATACCAAAGTATAGTGGTACCAACACTTTTTATGTGGATATGAAGCATGGGCTTTAAATGTTGCATTGAGAAAGAGGCTGGAAATATTAGAGATGTCATGTTTGAGAGCAGTGTGGTGCGAATATTCTACAGAGAATTTGGTGTGTGAGATTAGACGGTGTGGGGTTAGGCGGTGGTGTTGAGGTAGTTTGGGGATTTATAGAGGATGGGAGTTAATGGGATGACTAGGAGGGTGTATAGATCTGGGATGTAGGGAAGGAGGGGTAGGGTTAATTCCAGGAATGGTTTAAGGGGGGGAGGGGAAGAGTTTAGAATGTTTTGAGTGCTAGGGAGCTTGAATATCCAACAGTCTTGTGTTAGCTTTTTGGATTGGAGTAGAAAGTGATTTTTATGGCTTGACATGGTATTAAGAGTGTGAGCAAGGTAATATTTATAAAGGGTTTCAGGGAAACTGGTTATCCAAACTAAAATCCTGAAGGTGGGACATACAGTTTCTTCTTTCTTAAGGAGGGATGACGATGTTGAAATTTGGAGGGTTACCTGAACTATGATGTAAGCACACTTTCACCGAAACAGTGACTGAATGAGTGGTCACCTTACTTTGGTGGTAGACTGCCAGTGTGTTTAAAAGAATCTTTGTCAATGAAGAAATATTTAATTACAATTTTTTAAATGAGCTCAAATTATAAATTTGTTTTAAGAACTGACTGTTTCTTTTGTTATTAACTTATTGTAGTTGAGCTTATCATTTATTGTTTCTTCCTTCAGGTTTGCAACTGGTTTATAAATGCAAGACGGAGGATTCTACCAGAGATTATCCGCCGAGAAGGAAATGACCCAGAAAAGTATACAATAACTCGCCGTGCCAAGAAACTCAAAGGAGTATCTCCTAGGGACCGTGTTGAGATGGAAGAGTATTCTCGCCCAGCCCAAAATGATTATGCACGTGCCCGGCCACGTTGGGAATCTACAGATCTTCCCGATCATGATTATGATTTTTCCATGGAATCTCGCGTTGCTTCTTGGGTTGCTGAGCAGCAAAGAGTATCTGCCAAACCCCACTATGAAGCAGTGTGTCCGTGTGGGTGTGGCTCTGAGGCTGATCATACTTCAACTTTCACTACTAACTCCACAGCTCCAACATCTACCCAAACAACTGCTCCAAATTTTGTGACAGAGGTAACAGCAGCAACAAATTCACCAATATATACAGACACTCACTCACCAGCTTACACTCCAAATGACTCCCCAATGTATCCACCATCAACACCAGAACATTATGTTCCTCAAACAGATTATACTCACCATGCCTATAACACAACAGCTCAGGTCACCCCACCTCCAACACCACCTGAGGATGATGCTGATAAGTTCAAATGTCTTTATATGCTGGTTGATGCAGCTCTTAGTCAGTGGGAGAAACAGAATGCCTCACCACCACCACAGGATGCCCTTGACACCACACGTACCTACCTCAGTCTGTAACATGTTATCCATCATTATTACCCTTATTTTATAATAAATCACAATCATACTTGAAAAAAAGAATGTTATGGTTTGATTAGAAGATTGCAATAGAAGATTTTTGAGAAATAAAAGAAATCTGTGGTTGCTCTGACACTGCAACTCCATAAAATTTGTTATTAGTGATATTGGTCCATCATACACCAATACCTCCTATGCTTATAAATAGAAATTTATTTGGACCAAAGTTTTATTAGAACAAATACTTTCTTACATATGCTAGTTTTGTGATGTATGTGAATTGCTCATTCTTCTGTTGAACTTTCTTATTGGTTTATACATATGAACAATGTCTTGTTGGTTTTGGTTGTGACTTCTCTTGCAATTTTAGTTACAAAAGACAACATATTTCATTTTGCTTCTGTGAATGTGTTCCCTAGTTGTTGTCAAGATCAAATTCAAGTAAAGCTAGTTTCCAGCAATGTATTTATTTGCTGGTAATTTTTTAGCCTGTGCTCTCAGTCCATGATCTTGTTGCATCTGCTGAAACCTGGCAGCGATTTGTAGTTCAAACATACTAACCAAATACGTTTATGAGGTAGCTCGTGAATTCACGTCTTCTATAGTACAATGGATTGCCTTGCAATGATACAGAGTTTTTAGTTTTCTTCACCCATTATTTTTAGGTAACCTTGTATTATCATGACTTACCAAGATTAGTGTAGTGTATAGAACATTCCAAATTGGTGTTCGTCTTCCCTTATATTGAAGCAGTGGCTAAGGCAGTTGAGATTTTCACAATATGGAGGGTTTGCTGCACAAAATTGCTTTTTCATAAACCTCCGAGTGTTTTTCACGTCTTGTCACTGCTTCTGGTCTGTCTCTGCCTTTAAGACATATCGCTCAAATCTCCAAGAAAACGTGTATACATGTGCCTTAGTTTTGTCCCATGCAGAGTTAACTCATCTACTTAACCACACAAATGTTTTATAGTTAAGGACATGTATAAGTACTTACTCTGTCATTATTGCTATACTAGCAAAATGTGAATACTAAATCTTGCTAACCTCTTTTTTTTTTTTTTTCATTTATATTTGTGAATCAATTTTTTAGGTAGAAATAATGAGTACATATTGGACATTATGAAAGTGGTACTCTGTATTTGCCATCACTTTAAAAAAAAATTTCTTATTTGATTTTGATTTTAATGTTTTAATATATCTATTTGGTTGTAGTCAAGTGTATATGAAGTAGCCAATTGCATAAGATTTTGAGTTTTCTTAAGTGGTTACTAGAAGTAGCTGTTTAATTAGCATTTTATCATTTCACAGAATTTATACCCATCATATACAGTAATAGTTGCACTGACTTGTATTATAATCATGCAGTTATTTACTCATTTGTTTTATTCTTGAGCTAATTGATTTTACATGGAAATGTTATATTTTGAAACAATTGCAAATTATATTTTAAGTAGTACCCCAGAATATATCATGTAAGAATTATAGATGTTTTATTATGTTGAGAACATTATATGTTCAAGCTGTTGTAATGTTTGTGCATGCGATAGTGTGGGTGATTTTCATATACCTGGAATCTAAAATATTGTAGTTACTTTGCACATTTTGCTCTGTATTTAAAGTACATTACTTTTTCTTTTTATCAGTTCAAAGGTTAGCTTCAAGCCACTGGGTCCTGTTCATGCCATTACTTTATGGTGCTACTATTATTTTTTTTCCCTATTACACTGGGTAGTTGAAAAGGGCCTAGTGACTGTTAGCAGGTTGGGAAAGATTTGCTACATTTCATATTGTAATGTTTTATGTATTCCATATTTTGTTTCCATATTTTTTAGACCAAAGTGATTTAGTTATTCATAACTCCTGACCTGTCAGTAGACATACTTTGGTGTCCAGGTAGGTAAAAATCACCAGTAGATGAATTGCTAGTGTGAGCGTTTGATAGTATCACATGGAGTTATTTTAGTTTGGTCAAGGCCCACCTACATCGGCAGGGGAGATACCTAAGGTACACGATTGCCTCCTTAACAAGCAATTGATATAAGAACTTTAAAACAAATTTTAGCAAAAAATTTGTTATTTTTATGCAAGATGCTACAAAAGCTGAAAAGAATGAATGGTTTTAGAGATTGTATATAATGTATTAAACTCAGTGAAGGTTTGTCAATCCATTGATGAATTATTTCAGCTTTTGAATTCTTTCCTTTATTGTATACCCAGTGCCATTGGTGTCTGCATGCCATATACATCAACTGCCATCTTGAGTATTCCATGCAGGTAGTGATAATCTTACCATTGTTAATAGTTCAATGAATATAAGGTTCAGAGTATTACATGCAATCAACCTGTTACTTCCTCTCGTCCTTTCACTCAGATTGACAAAACTGATGCCATTTGCTTCTTATATTAAATATTTTTAAACACTTTTGAACCAGTGGAAGAAAATAACCACATTTTACAGTTGCCTTAAAGACTGAAAGTCATCACTGAAGGGCATGAGAGGAAGTAAAAAGTTGAAGCGATGGGGTAATATGATGAATGTAGTCCATTATTAGTGTCTACTGTACAGTCTGCAGAATTATTATTATAGAAAATAAAAGTGATATCAATGTAATTTTTTTTTAACCTATGCTTGCTTTTCAAATTAGCATATGAAGCAAAGACTGTTTAGAGAACTTGTTGTGACTGAAGCAAATGCAATAAAAGCTACCAGTGAAGCTTATACAGTGGAACCCTGGTTTTCGGACGCCCCAGTTACCGGACGATTCGGTTTTAGAACCGTTTTTTGTGGGAAATTTTGCTCTGGATATCACACGTATCAGATGTGTCCACCCGTTGGGATGCTGCTTCAATCTGGCTCTGTCACTGGTTGAGCATTCATCTGAAACATATCACAGTTTTTGTGCTTGTTTATTGATTGTGAATGCGAAATAAGCCACCATGGGCCCAAAGAAAGTTCCTAGTGCCAGCCCTTTGGTAAAGGGCTGAGAGAGAGGGGAGAATGTGCCTTCTTCAGTGATTTTACAATATGTACAATACTAAAGCAGCAGGAGTCAATAAAGGCTATAGCGCCAGCCAGTGGAACTTCAAATTTCAAACTTAATCCGTTCCAGAAGTTAGTTCTAAATTCGAAAAGTTTGAAAACAAAGCAATACTTCCCATAAGAGATAATAGAAATACAATTAATCTGTTCTAAAAACCCAAAAATATTAACAAAAAAAAATACATTTTAGAGCAATTATTTATAGTTTTACACAACAAATAGTGTACAATTATGTATTAATAAATTTAAATAAACATAAAATAACATTTTTACTTACCTTTATTGAAGGTTGGTGATGGCATCTGGAAGATGAGGAGGAGAGAGGGAGTTGGAGGTTAGTGTTTGGAAGGGGAATCCCCCTCCATAAGGACTTTAGGTATCAAAGCCCTCTCGGGGGTTACTTCCTTTCTCTGTCTTTTAATGCCACTAGGACCAGCTTGAGAGTCACTGGACCCCTGTCTCACAAAATAACTGTCCACAGTCCTCTGTTTCTGATGCCTCATTAAGATTTCCCTAAAATGGGACATGGTTCTGTCACTGAACTTGTTGCAAAGATGGATTGTTTCAGCTTGCTCAGAGTGGTACTTCACAAACATTTGGACATCATTCCACTTGCCGCAAATCTCCTTAATCTCTGAACCGGCATGCAACTACTTTGCATTTTCACAAATAATCATCTCTGAAACATTATCACCTGCCATCTCTATCCTTGATCCACACCAGCAACAACTTCTCAACCTGATCGACTGTGTGGTCTTTTTTTGGTTAGCATATTAACACCTTTTGCAACATCAGCTTCCTTGATTTGTTCTTTTTCTTTGCCAGGATAGAAGCAATGGTCGACTTGTTTTTCCCATACATCCTGGCAAGCTCAACAAGTTTCACACTACTCTCATACTTCTGTATTATTTCCTTTTTCACATCTATGGTGTTTCTCACTTTCTTTATCACAGAGGTACCACTAGCAAGTTTCTTTGGGCCCATAGTAGCTTATTTCACAGTCCCACAAGCACTAAACACAATGAATTAATCATAAAATGTTTGAATGAGACTGCAGGTTAGTGTTCACTCAAGCATCAACAAAACCAGACTGGCTCACAGCGCCTGCGTGGGGACGCGGACAGGCCCAGTACCCGACGGTTTGATAAAAGGGGCAAGTTTAATAATGGGGACAAAGTTGGTTCGAAAAAAGCGGTCAATTTTCGAAGAGTTTGATAAGCGATATGTTCAAAATTTGAGGTTCCACTGTATAGCATTAACAGTGTAGCAAGTAAGTTAAGCAATTAAGCGATAGAAAAATGATAACACGAAACTTAACTCCTCCATTGTTGTTTGAGGTATATAGGGTCACTGACAACACTGCCACCACCACCATCACTATTAATACAGCTTATGCTCTCAGTGGCCCTTACAACCCCAATAACATCACTACCACTCCACATACGTAATGACATATTTTATTCATTCTAGAGTATATCAGGTTTCTATGTTATTAATATTGTTTATTATGTCATGTTAGATCGATTGTAACAGGTAAATAAGCTCTAGAGTTGATATTAGTGTCATATTCTTTAAACAAATGTTTTTTTTAATATTTTTGGATGTCTGGAATGGATTAATTGTCTTTACATTATTTCTTATGGGAAATATTGATTAAGTTTTCACACGTTTCAGTTTTAGAACAACCTTTTGGAATGGGTTAAGTTCGAAAACCAGGGTTCCACTGTATTATACTAATTTATCACAATTTAACTTTTCTCTACACTAATTACCATACCAGGTGTCACCACTTAGAAGTAAATCAATCAGATATCTACCATATGCATATGGTGTGAACGCTGTTAGTTATCTCTTGCTGAACATTGTAAAAACTAATACAAAAATGGGAAATTATTTTTTGAAAAAAAAAAAAAAAAGAAGAATGGTTTGGAACATGCTATAAGAGCATTGTAACAGTGCTGTAACCAACGAAGGATTTTTAAAATTAATGAATTTTGAAAACTTTTCCCTCATGAAGCATTTCCTGCATAAGTAATGAACTTTAGACATCTTTTTCTTCCCAAGTAATTGTTATGCCTTGCTACCCTTTATGCCAGTGAGGGGCTCTTGATCCGAGGAATTAGACCTATTCTACCCTTCCTTAGATTCTACCTGATTGCCTTCTATTTGGGGATGTAGCCACATGTCCAGTGCACTTGCTGGTTGTAAGATAAATGTAGTGACCAGTTTTGACCACCACCAGACTATGAACCTTGTAGGTTTAGCACATAAGTTATGATCATAATAATTACGTGACCACCACCAGGGACCTGGTTAAGGAAGTTGTCAACACACCCACAGCAGTGCTGTATAGCCCTTGTGGCTTTCGCTTCTTTTTGATTACAATAATAATAACACACCCATAGGTTCCAACACAGGTGTCTATGTTATACCCTGTGGTGGCTTAGGGTGTACATGGGAGGGACAACAAAGAAACCTAGAGCTGTGCTTCAGATCATAGGTAAACTAGCAGCAGGGATGATGTGAACAACGCATGCATAATTTACTGAAACTCACATGTATATCTGATAAAAGTGCAGAGAGGACCTCACTCATAATCAAGGTGACTGATGTGTGTAAGAGATGCTTTCTTGAATTTTCAGTAACTGTCATTTGCAACACTTGTCCAGAAATCTGTTATTTATAGTACGTCAGATGGTCAACTTATTATCCAGGTAGACAGCGCTGTATGACCCTTGTCGGTTTAGCTCTTTCTTTGATTATATTGATAATATCCAGGTAGAACATCATGTTTAGATGACCTGACTGATACACCACTGACCAGATATCTCACACACTTCATCTCTGCTCGTATATATACTGTGAATTTCTCATGCCCTGTATTTGACTGATTAAGCTCCCCACGAGCAAAAAGTTCCCTAACAAAATATTCTATAGCTTTACACTTGTGGTATTTACAGGCTTTACATTGTTTCATTTTTTCATTGGGTTGATCTACAATTCCTAGGCTTTGAGGGTGTTATACTATAGGCACTAGACTTTTTGAGTGTGTACGTCTAAAACTTCTTCGCCTCTTGGGAGGGCTGAGTTATGTCTGGATCTCTTGAAGGAGTTGAGCTGCAGGTCCTTTGTCTTCTTAATGGTTTTGAGGTCCTGGTACTAGCCTCCAGTGTGGGTTGAGATCTTGGTACTGGCCTCCAGTGTGGGTTGAGGTACTAGGGGCTGGGGTTGTGGGTTATCTGAAATATCTTTCTCAGATCACAGCAACCAAAATGAGCCTAGTTATTATTATATTTGTGGGTAAGCATTAAACCTGAAGGGTCATATAGTGCCTGGAACGTGGGAGGTAAGCAGGTTTGATCCAGGAAAAGGGGAGGGTAGCTTCAATACCTTGGAGTCTAACCTTATACTTCTATACATTATTATTATAATCAAAAAGAAGCGCTAAACCACAAGGGCTATACAGCGCATACTTCTATACAACAACTTTATAGCTAAAAAATAAAGTGCCTTGTGGTGCACCATATTGTCCTCATAAAAGGGAAGCAAGTTGTAGCTATGCACACTTGGTGCTTGGCAAGACTTCATTAGTCACTTCTTTAAGTATGAGATGCCCTTGGCAACCAACATATAGCAAATTAACCTAGGCTTTGATTAAATTTGGCATCGTGGCATTAGCCAGGTCATGAGTCACTCAACCTGGCTACACAGAGATGGGATCAGGCAACTTTTATCCAGTTTTGTTTGTGTAGCAAGATGGCAAGGTAGGAGTGCTCATAACTCAAAAAGACTACCTATATTAATTTTGTGCTACAATAGCAAAAAATTAAACATGAAATTAACTCATTATTGATACTAACTAATACAGTGGACCCTCGACTAAGGCTATTAATCCGTTCCTGAGAGCTCATCGTTAGTCAAAATAATCGTTAGTCAAGTTAATTTTCCCCATAAGAAATAATGGAAATCAAATTAATCCGTGGAAGACACCCAAAAGTATTGAAAAAAAATTTAACACATGAAATGTTAATTTTAATACACACAAACTGAAGAAGACATGCACAGTTACATGACACTTACCTTTATTGAAGATCTGGTGATGATTGATGGGATGGGAAGAGGGGAGTGGTGTTTGATGGTCCTAGTGTTTTAGAAGGGGAATCACCTTCCATTAGGACTTGAGGTGGCAAGTCCTTTTTCGGGGTTACTTCCCTTCTTCTTTTAATGCCACTAGGACCAGCTTGAGAGTCACTGGACCTCTGTCGCACAACATATCTGCCCATAGAGGCCTGTACCTCCTGTTCCTTTATGACATTCCTAAAGTGTTTCACAACATTGTCAGTGTCACCATTAAACACTTGTTCAGTTTCAGTCCTTCACTGTCTATGTACTCCTTGAATTCCTGCACATATTTTTCAGCTGCTTTTTGGTCCAAACTGGCAGCTTCACCATGCCTTATCACACTATGTATGCCACTACGATTCTTAAATCTCTCAAACCACATCACCACTAGTTGCTGGCATTTTTCTAATTAAATCCTCATGCAACTTCCTAGCCTTTTCACAT